GAGCCCCGACACCTATGAAAAAATGGCTTGGATAATATCATGGGAAATCTAATTAGCATGGGTATTAATTTAGTTACATTTAAACTTCAATTTGGTCAAAATAGTTCATGTGATCCCATTTCAGTTATTTTGAATCAAAGCTCAATTTGACCTAATTGGGATCCAGTTTGCTTCCATTTGAATTCAATTAATTGAAAATTTTCATGAGGATTGATTTAGAGGGCTTAATTGGATTGGATTAGATTTTATTTAGATTTTATTCAGTTATATCTAATTAGGACAAATTAGATAAGAGATAAAAATTGGACAAATTACGTGTTCAATTGTGATCAATTGAGTTTGATAACGTACAATTAGGCTTAAAGAGAGATTAGTTGACTTATATTAAATTTGTGTTTGATCGATTTTATTCTGTTCAATTAACCCAAATAGGTCAACAATGGGCTTCTGAGCCCAGTAGGCCCAATTAGGTTTAATTAGGATGAATTTAGTTCAATTGAGTTAAGAGTAACCTAAGAAGTGGTTTTACCTAATTTGATTGGATTTGGATTATATTTTGAATGATTTGACCAATGGTGACTCAAATAGACCAACTTGGTTCAAGGGTATAAAGTTATTTCAATTGGATTTAGATTTGATTGAATTTTTGTTAAAGAGATTTCAATGTGTTCCTAAGAAGACTTAACCATTAGAACTCACTCTTTGGGGAGAATTCAAGATTTGGCTTAAATGACCTTTAATGGGCCTTAGTGGTTTTATTGGTTAAATAAGCTAAACAATCATTTTGGTGAGCTTAGATGAGTTAAAAATTCATCTTAAAGTATTTAAAACAATTAGTATTTGAATTTGGAATGTATTTTATTGGATTGGATTAAATAGACTCGTAATGGAGCCGTTTGGTGAAATCGAGTATGCCAATGTTGATCCATGGTAGTTCTTAGATAAGTTAGAGTCACTAGAAGTCAAAGTTTTTAAATTTGTGAATGGTTGATTTTTGTGGATCTCATAAGTCAAATAGAGTTGACTTGTTTAAACAAGATTGACCAAGCCTTACCATGCTCAAGTAAGAGCCTATAAAAAATCCTAAAGTCACTTAGAAAGGTCTTAAAGAATTAGAGCTGATTTTGGTTGGCTAAGTTCAATGGACCTATAAGGCATCTATAAACTAAATCTAGTGGGGCATGGACTTAATTTGAATTCCTTTGGTTCCAAAAAAAAATTAATCCTTTCGTTCCAATATGAACTTACTATTAAACTAATAACTATGCTATAGGTCACTTGAATCTAAAGGAAATTTACTTAGCTCAACTACTCTCTATGGCTAAGAAAACCACTTAGGAGGAAATCACTTAAGATGAAGAATGTGTATCAACTATACCCAACTGAGTACATTTTGAGCATAATCTATCAAAACCAAGATGTTTATTAAAAATATATACTAGTTAATTTTGTGTCTATGAATTTAATAATTACAAAGTCAATCAAAATATGATCTATAAAAAACTAATGGTTAATGTTAATATTCTTGTGTGATAGTGCTAAATTTAGCTCTCAATTAAGCATATTATATTACTATTATTAAGCATATTATATTACTAGTATTACGCATATAAAAAATACTATAAAAGTAGATTCTTAAATTTTGTAGGTATTACTTGAGCTATAAGAGCTAATCAACACAACCTCTACACTCAATATCTTTCTATCCCAAAAGTGGATAGTGTAATGTAATTTTGTTTCATATTAGACCAAGAAAAAAATAAATGTCCAATAAATAAGCAAGCATTTCATGTCATATTATCATAGAATCATCAAAGTCGAGATAAAAAAAATAACAAGATCAAATGAAATATTATGGCTAGAGTATTAAAATCTTAGAGTGGGTGTATCTATAAGATGCATAACCATGTGCTTAATAAACATGTGCTTAACTAAGTTTAAATGTGACTCTAAGGGATCTTCTTAGAAAAGAGCAACCAAATAAACATCATTCATGACATCGTTTTTTCTCATAGTGACATAGAGGAAATAGCTTATCATGCCTCTCTATAACTTTATTAGATACAAATTTTCTATTGTGATCATTATCAAGTTAAGTAGAAAAGCTCATGCGGGTTCATATAGCCTTGAATCTCTCCATATCAAATTTCTTAATAACTTCATAAATTTCTTTCAATTAACATACTTTCTTCTATTTTACTTGCAATCCTAAGAAGTTAAGCTCCCTCAATATAACTATTTCAAATTATTTTTTAATAATAATGGACAACAAACAAATCACAAGTAATTCTCTTAATGATTATAATAGTAATTATTATCCCCTAATAAAATTTATTTTCTACTAAAAAAGAAGTACCTTAGTCTATCTAGAGATTATTCAACGAGAAAATCTTCCTTAATAATACCATTCATGAAAGTACTTTTAACATCTAATTGATAAGGGAAGAGGCCCTTAATTTCAAAAGCTACTAGAAGTCTAGTAGCTTTATGACAAGCAACAACTATCAAGATTTAAAAATATATACTCTATTCGACTAAAACTCTTTACAATAAATCTAGTTTTATTTTTAGCTAATGCGCAACATCATTGAGTCTATTCCTAAAATACCATGTAGTTTTTATAACCTTTTGATCTGTATGACTTGAAATTCCCAAACATTGTTCTAAGCAAGCTAATTTAATCCCACATGCATAGCTATGCACCAAATTTCACTTCTCTTCCGGGCTTGGGACCGGCAACGGCAGTGTTGAATTTGATTTCCATCAACAATAAGATAAATTTGATTTCATATAACATTTCTAGTTTTAAGAGCTTCTAAAAGATATGCAAAAATTTGTGTTGCCAACACTTTGTTCTGAACAATAAACAATCAAATCTAAGAATTATATGGACAATGTACTAAAGACATGTAAGTGGGATCCATTTGACTTCTTAAGTGATTTATTAGGCACCTGTTAAAGTAAATACAAGATATTTACATGATTGACTGTAAGTAGTACTATAATCTCAGCTCAAAATTATTTAAGATTTTTTATATATTTAACAGGCTGCAATTATTAGCATTGTTGTTTTTGCTTTTAACTGTCATTTTGTTCTGGGATCTTAAGTTCTAAGAAAGTTTGTTTAATTCCAAAGTCTTTGCAAAAGATCTTAAACTTTCTATTGTCAATCTCCCCGCCTTGAGCCTTATTAAATATAGAAATTAACTTAAAACTCATTTAATTTTAAAAAAAAAGGTTTTGAAATAATAATGAAATAAACTAAACTTTATATGCTTACAAGCTTAAAGAAAACACTGATTAAGATCTCTTTTAGATGCAACTCTTTAAGACAATGAAATGGCACTTAATTTTATTTACCTAGTTGACAAATATCACAAAATGGACATTTCAAAACTTCTAGTTAGGTGGTCATATAACTAATTTGAAAGATCTAGAATATGTTTAGTCTAGTTCTTAATACAAATTTACACTTTTTAAGAAACCAACTTTATGGCGTGGAATGATGGCCTTTAAAAGAGAAGCATAAAACTAAGTTAGGTTTTGTAGAGATGATAACGCTTTGGTGGCGGAGTGGCTTGAAACTTGGAAAAAAAATGTGAAACGAATGTATCAGTGAAAGGGTTGGTGTAGCTCCTACGGTGGTCAGATTAGAGAGAGTCACCTTAGTAGATGGTTTGGTCACATTAAATGTCAATCATCTAATGATCTGATTAGGAGAGTAATTATTTTAGATTCAAATTAGATTAAAAAAAAAAGAGGTAGACCTTAAAAAACTAGGGCATGTTGTATAAAAATTGATCTAAATTTATCAGAATTAAATAAAAGACCATCGGATGACCCGATTAGGAGAGTAGATTTTCTAGATTCGACTTATGTTAAGAAAGGTAGAGGTAGACCTAAAAAAAGTTGGGCATGTTGTATAAAAAATGATCTAAATTTATTAGAATTAAATGAAAATAAAACACTCACTAGGACACAATTGAGAAAAAGGATTCATGTAACCAACCCAACTTAGTAGAATAAAGGCTGTTGTTGTTGTTGTTGGAAGATACTAACTTTGATAAATAAATCATAACTATTTTAATCACAAAATAATAGGCCATCACTCATAAATGTATTTTTTGTAACTTGAATAAAATGTGCCCTTCCCACCATATTTCTTGTCAGAAGAATCAAGATCATACTTTATTGATGCAAAGTATTTTCTAAATCAGAATGAGCTTTCTTTAAGCATGCATAATTTTTTAATGATTTATAACTATCATGCATATAATCTTATCATATACCTTTTTTCTTCATATGTAGAGTGAAAGCATATATATTTTCAATTGTTGTGCTGTTCTGATCATTCAGAACCATCAAACAAAGCTTTGCTTACTCCATGCTTGGGTTTTTTTGCAAAGAAATCAGATTCTGAATTGATCCAAAATCTTCTCTATTTTTCATGAATTTCTCTCATGTCTTTTGTCATCCTTCTTTTCCACATTGTTCTTGTTGCTTTTATTGGTGATATTATTAGCACTGTTCCATTGCTTATGACCTTACTTAAAAATCAAAGCAAACAAAATAGTCAGAATTATTTTTAACAAAATTCTTACCTTTCTCATGTCTCTACTTTTATCATTCTAAATTAACATTCCCACAACAAATATAACTTATATCACCTGCATATTTATAAAGACAAATCAGACATAATATACGTGATAGAACATCCTACAGCACCCTAATCATAAGAAAATAATACTTTAAATTTTCTTTCCTTCTAGTTCTTTCTTTTTTTGGATTTTCTCTAGTCTAATATGATTTGTTTGAAGTAATTTTCCGTAAAGGAAGTTTAACGAACATAATATAATTTGTTGAATTTGATCAAATGATTCAAGTACATCTTATTATTTTAGTAACATACTTTGCAGTCGAATTTGTTATAATGCTAACTAATTACTCACATATTGCAAGTTGATTGTTAGAATATCATCAATTTCATTTGGAAATGACTTCAAATAAGGCGGCATCTTCATAAACTTAAAATAACAGAGAACAAGTATACATAGAAGAGCAAGTGTGCTGAGAAATCATGAGTACAAACTTCTGCAATTTATTCTTTATGAGAAATTAAGGGTTTCAACAATAGCTAGCAATGGCAGCATACACAAAATCAAGACGAAGCCTTCAACTTCTTTGTAATGCCAGCAAAGTATTTACCCTGGTGGAAGGCAAGCTGCAGTTCAAGCTCAGTCGGTAGCCTGGTACCATCCCCAGCTAGGGTTCCAGAACCATAAGGAGAGCCACCCTTCACTTTCTCAATCTCAAACATTCCAGCTCCAGCAGTATAGCCAACAGGCACAAAGATCATTCCATGGTGAACCAGCTGAGTTATGGCAGTCAAGCTGCACGCAAATTATATTATTGAGAAAACAGGCAGAGTTGAGTGAAATCTGAAACTTTCATTGTGGAGAAAAGGTTCTCAAAAAGATTTTACTATACAACAACAACAACAACAACAACAAAGCCTTAATCCCACTACGTGGGGTCGGCTACATGAATCCTTTTTCTCCATTGCGTCCTATTTATTGTCATATTTTCATTTAGTTCTAATAGATTAAGATCATTTTCTATACAATAAGCCTAAGTTTTCCTAGGTCTACCTTTGCCTTTCTTAACATAAGTCGAATCTAAAACATCTACTCTCCTAATTGAATCATCAAATGGTCGACGCTTAATGTGACCAAACCATTTAAGACAACTTTCTCTTATTTTGTCCGTCATAGGAGCTACACCAACCCTATCACGGAAATATTCATTTCGCATTTTGTCTCTAAGGGTAAAGCCACTCATCCACCTAAACATTCTCTTCTCGGCAACAGTTAACTTAGTATTATGCTTCTTTTTTAAAGGCCAACATTCAGTGCCATAGAGCATTGCAAGCTCAAAAAAATCTTATTATAAACATTCAAAATCAAATTTTGAAGTATGAGGCAGATTAGCATTGCCTCTCAAGGCAAACAAAACTAGAAAGACTTTATGCCTATTTAATTTTACAATCAAATTTCAACAAAGCAAAAAGTTTGCAGTAGGAGAACTTACGCAGTAGTTTCCTGGCCACCACCCTGAGAGGCAGTGCTGAAGAAAATTCCAGCAGGCTTCCCTGCAAGCTGTTGAGTTCTCCATAGGCCACCAGTAGAATCAAAGAATGCCTTAAACTGTGCAGCCATCATTCCAAATCTCGTCGGGAAGCCAAAGAGAACCCCATCGGCTTCAGCAAGCTCACTGGCCGTGATGATTGGTGCATCACCCTTGGGAGGTGCATGCATCTTGGCAAGGATTTCTTCTGGTAGCGTCTCAGAAACCTATCAAAGAAATGGTTGACAAATGAGTATCAATCAATTACCAAGTAAATAAAACTATGATTCTATGTAATTGAAGGTAAGAATGTAAATTTAGTTTAATTGCAGCAAGCTAGGAGATGCAAACTACTGGAGGAAAAAAAATGAAAAAAGCACAATGGAATTTATAAATCCTTTTTAAGGTGTAGTTTGGCAACTTCTGGGATTCAAAGTAAATCTCACAAATTGGGATTCAGTAAATCCTGGGATGGTTTAAAAGCCGAATACTGTCAGACAAGGCAGGTTAAATCATGTGAAACTAGTTGGTAACTTCTTCTAGAATTTAAGAGTGAGCTCTATTTTATTTCATTATTTCTAACTAGAGTAATTTATAACTAATAATTTATTAAGTTAATTAATTGATAATTAAAACTTATTTAGAATAATTTATCATTAATTTATAATTTACTATTCATTAATTGATACAATTTATTGTAAAATAAATTATAATTAAGCACAATTAGTCATCAATTAGTCAAGACTACTGAATATTTAATGAATTATTTACTAAAATAATTAATCATCGTTATAATTTCACTAGAATAATGAATTAATAATTACTACAGTAATATTTATTAATTAATATTTAATTAATCAAAATTAAAATCTTACTAAAATATTTATTCATTGATTAAGAATTCACAAAATCTTATTAAACATATTAACATTTACTTAATTAAATTAAAATTTAATTAATAACATAATAATTACTACAGTAATATTTATTAATTAATATTTAATTAATCAAAATTAAAATCTTACTAAAATATTTTTTCATTGATTAAGAATTCACAAAATCTTATTAAACATATTAACATTTATTTAATTGAATTAAAACATCATAATATTAATTTAATTAATAACATAATATTATATTAATTAATTAACATTAATTATTAAATTAATTTATACATACACTAGTGAAAAATAATTAAAATCTCCCCTCTTGGATTCCCAAAACCCTCGCCATTGAAAGAAACCCTCCCCCATCCATTCCTAGCTGAAAACCTAGAAAAAAAAAGAAGTGACCTAGCCAGGGGAGCTTGCTAGCAAACTTTCTATTGGTCCGAATCGCTTAAATCTAGAAGTGTGTACTAGTTGATCAAAATCAAAACACCAAACAAAATTTAAAAAGTTTTGTTGATTTGATTCGGTTTCAAAAATGCATTTCGGTTTTTCATTTTAAAAACTTAATATTCGGCATTGGGTTTATGATTTAGTTTTAATTTTCATTTAACTAAACAAACCCAAAAACAACAAATTCAAAATTAAATGAAGGATTAATTGAATTACACTGATATTATACATGTACAATATGTAATTCTTAATGTTTGTTCATAACCGAACTCTAACTAACAACTAAATTTTGGTTTATTCATAATTGAACAATTTAACCATAATTAAATTTTGGTTCGGTGAGTTTTGTTCTATTAGAAATTTGATTGATTCGGTTTTTCATATTTCAGATTTAAGTTGGAATCGGTTTAACCAATTTGAAAATAAGTCCATCCAAACTGACCAAATGCTCACCTTTCCTTAAATCTACCGAGGCACCAATTTAGGTCAAAATAGAACTAAAATGAGTCTTAAAAATCTATAAGATTGATGTTGCTCTTTCTGATCATTTGTCTATATTTAAA